TGAGGAGAAGCAGATTAACCATCATTTGCACTTATGGTTGTAGTAAGTTTTTTTTCAGCTAAACTGATTTTACATGCAGTCCAAGCTTTGAAAGGAGTTAACTCTGCCTTCTGCCTCAATACTTAGACAGTGATAGCAGGGCTACAAAATAAGGTCAGTATTGAGGCAGAAGAATTAGCAAGGTAATTGGGCTGTAACATTAGCTGGTCCTGGTTTGTATAGGTGATGGAATTGGATCAGGAGTGGCTCAGCCATCCTCCTTTCTTTGCAGTGTAACTTGTACACCACATGTTCAGTTTTGTTTCAATGTTTAAAAACCCAGGAAGTGCTGGTTGACTAGGTGCAGATATTGATCTCTGGGTGAAAAGGAAGTGGTACAAAAGTGTACCTGTTTGTGGTTTGCTATGCGGGAGCATTTGCTGGCTAATTAACCACAATTAACATAATGCCTGACTTAGTATGCTGTGGAAATCAGCTCATCCAACTTATCTCTGGCTCTTTGTAGGAACTCTCTTGATTTATACTCGTACAGTATTTGCGACTCAATTGCTATTAATACAGTTAGGTAAGGCATTATTATGCAAGCTCACTTCAATATAGAACCAGTTGATACCATCAGAAATTAACCCAAAGCTGCGGTTCGAAAGGCAACTGGACTTTCTTTGCCTTTTGAACAGAACCTTTGGGACAACCATGACCTGGGTGATTGAGAATCTCCATAGATATCCTCAGGAAATAACTGGTAAAGTCTTCTGAGACATAGGACTTGAATGAGCTGGGTCCCCCTGCTCTGGCATTATATTTCTATTATTCTATTCCTATTCTATTCCTATTCTATTCCTGTTTCTATTCTGTTCTGTTCTATTCTATTCTATTCCATTCCATTCCATTCCATTCAAATTCTAGTCAAGTCTAGTCTAGTCTACCCTACCCTACTCTACTGTACTCTACTCTACTCTACTCTGCCCCACCCTTCCCACCCAAGATATTGCATTTGTTCTTCCTAACCCAACTCTTCCCTTTGATCTCTGCCATCATGGGCATTCTGAGGAGACAATGTGACAAATATTAGGAAGGGAACAGAGTTGGACTATGGCTGAAAAAAATGCAGAAAATCTCAAGATGGCATCCATAATTCTTGGTCACCCTCTAATAGTTATCCAATATTTTGCAGGCCAAAGACGATAATACTATTGTCCATAGAAAAGACAAATCTTAATCCTGTACTGAGAATTCCCAAGCATCTTCATTTGTTCAGAGTCCTCTGACTATTTTTTTAAGTCTTTCTGAAATTCAAGAAGAGCAGCTTTCCTTGTTGCATTTATAAGGGCAAATGCTGGCATCCTGAGCTTTCTGTTGCTATGTTGTAGAGAGAAAATGCTGAAACGATGCATGTTAAATCACGAAAATGGCAGGAGTCCTATCCTTAATTACATTGGCTGCTTCCATTAAACCTGGGCATTTGTCTTCCTTGTTGTATCAGAGAACATAGACAAAGTGAAAGAAATTAGGAGTAAGGCTTTCTGGCTAGAGTATGGAAGGAAACCAGCTGCTCCAAATGTTCCTTTTATTGAATGATATCCATTTAGGAATTGACAATGCAAATACAAGAAATGAGGATGAATCTTTTAGAATCTTAAACATTTATCAAGCAAAACCTCACAATCAGCAGCATTTTTTATTTATTTATTATCATAATAGAGCGATCACTTCATGTGCTTATTTATTTTTATTGATTGACCAGTTATAAGCCACCCATCTCACTGTCAACATGACTCTGGCCAATTGTGTTGTATCACTTATACCTGGTTTGTGATCTTCTTATGAGCTTACATCTTTATGGATTATACTTATGGCTCACAAACCAAGCCTAGCCACCATTATAAATTGCCACTTGCCAGCCAGGGGGAGATTTCTAAGTGGAAAAGACGCTACGGGAGAAGGATCACTGTTTATCCAGGTGGCGACATTCTCATTGGGTGGAGAGGAGAGGATAAGCAAATAGAATGGAATGGAATGGAATTCTTTAGAAATTAGAAATTAGAATTCTTTACTGGCCAAGTATGATTGGACACACAAGGAATTTGTCTTGGTGCAAATACTCTCAGTATATATATAAAAAAGGTACATTCGTTAAGAATCAAGAATCATAAAGGTACAACACTTAATAATGGTCATAGGGTACAATAAGCAATCAAATTATACTAGGAAACAGTCAATATAAATCGTAAGGATACAAGTTACAGTCATACAGTCACAAGTGGGAGGGGATGGGTGATAAGGAGTGATGAGAAAATTAACAGTAATAGTAGTGCAAACTGTGTAAATAGTTGAACAGTGTTGAGGGAATTATTTGTTTAGCAGAGTGATGGCTTTCGGGGGAAAACTGTTCTTGTGTCTAGTTGTTCTGGTGTGCAGTGCTCTATAGCATCATTTTAAGGGAAGGAATTGAAACAGTTTATGTCCGGGATGTGAGGGGTCTGTAAATATTTTCACAGCCCTCTTTTTGACTTGTGCAGTATACAGGTCCTCAATTGAAGGCAGGTGGGTAGTAATTGTTTTTTCTGCAGTCCTAATTATCCTCTGAAATCTGTATCTGTCCTGTTGGGTTGCAGAACCAAACCAGACAGTTAGAGAGGTGCAGGTGACGGACTCAATAATTCCTCTGTAGAACTGGATCAGCAGCTCTTTGGGCAGTTTGAGCTTTCTGATTTGACGCAGAAAGAACATTCTTTGTTGTGCTTTTTATTGGCCAAGTGTGATTGGACACACAAGGAATTTGTCTTTGGTGCATAAGCTCTCAGTGTCCATAAAGAAAAAATAAAATACATTCATCTTAGGAAAGATGGTGTCGTTGTATAGATGGGGAGTGGTCCAGCTCAAGAGACCCTTCCAATCCCTCTTCACCAGATGAATCTGGGCTCCCTTTTGTCCCCATTAACCTTTGCCAGGAACCTGATCTAAACGGGTCTACGTAGCAACCCAGACACGTGGGAATAAAGATATACAAGTGGTCCTTGACCTGCGACCACAATTGAGCCCAGCATGTCTGCTGCTAAGTGAGACATTGGTTAAGTGAATTTTGCTTCATTTTACAACCTTCCTTGCCATCGTTGTTAGCAGCATGGTTGTTAAGTGACTCTGGCTTCCCCATTGACTTCACCTGTCAGAAAGTCGCGAAAGGGACTTTGGGACACTGCAAAAATATGAGTCTGTTGCCAACCGTCTGAATTGTGATCACATGGCCGTGGGGATGCCACAGTGGTCATAAATGTGAAAGACGGTCATCATTCACATTTTCCAGTGCCGTTGTAACTTCAAATGGTCAATAAATTTACTACCAACCTGCCTTCCATCAAGGACCTACAAGTCAAAAAGAGGGCTGTGAAAATATTTACAGACCCATCACATAAACTGTTTCAACTCCTACCCTCAAAACGATGCTATAGAGCACTGCACACCAGAACAACCAGACACAAGAACAGTTTTTTCCCGAAAGCCATTACTCTGCTAAACAAATAATTCCCTCAACACTGTCCAACTATTTACAAAGTCTGCACTACTATTACAGTTAATTTTCCCATCACTCCGTATAGCTGATCCCCTCCTCCCACTTGTGATTGTATGACTGTAACTTTGTCGCTTGTATCCTTACGATTTATATTGACTGTTTCCTAGTATGATTTGATTGCTGACTGTACCCTATGACTATTATTAAGTGTTGAACCTTATGATTTTTGACTCTTGATGAATGTATCTTTTCTTTATGTACACTGAGAGCATTTGCACCAAGACAAATTCCTTTTGTGTCCAATCACACTTGGCCAATAATGATTCCATTCCATTCCATTCCATGCCATTCCATTCCATTCCATTCCATTCCATTCCATTCTATTCTATTCTATTCTATTCTATTCTATTCTATTCTATTCTATTCTATTCTAAATAAACTGTTATAAGTTGAGGACTGCCTGTACTCTGAATGGCTTTTCAAGTCCATGTGGGGGGGCTTGGCAGTCAAATCAAACCTGAAGAGCACCATCTGAATGCCAGTGGCATAGTCAGTGCTTCCAATAGAAAGCTTTCTGTTCAGAAGCAAGCTCCATGTTGGGAGCAGCATTTCCTGCTTGCAGGCACCTCTGTGTCTGTCTCACCTGCGCCTTGCGCTTCAGCTACCTTGCCATGCCACCTTTCAGTGGCAAGATCACAACTTTTGCTTCCTTGTCCTTGTCTTTTGAAATCTTGCCTAGGACTGACTTGACTTTGATGTCTAGATTGTTTTATTCCTCTGGTGTGTTTTTGGCTGGCTGTGAGAAACCCATATGGAATTAGACCACGATCTGCATTGCCTGGCTTTTGCTACTCCCAGTTCTTCACCCCAAACAAGGACGTTGTATGCCCACAACTGAGTAACCTTTTCACTTTGAGTTGTGATGCTGCCTGTTGTTGATGGTGCTGCCTGATGCATTTGCCTAGTGCCAAAGTGGCTCTCGTATTGCTTTAATTTTCCCAGCGGTAAGCTAGATAAAACTTTGGAGCTGGCAAAATTCAGTTAGAAATCTTGGTGCCAAGATGTGTCAAACTGCACTTATGACAGCTTGGCAGCACACCCAGTATTGCACATTTCTGAATACACCTGGCTCTGATTTGCCCCTTGCCAATTTCATCTCTTTTATAGAGAGGAGGGCATGAGACTGAGATCTGGCAGGCTCTTCTGGTGGTTAGGTATTGAAATAACATGGCAAGAATCACCGAAGTGCTATACACAAAGAGCTACACTTTCTTACAATGTAGAGAAGCAAGGATCCCTTTTCAGCTAAGTAAAGTGTGCTAAGAACATCAAATGTATTGGATTGCTTCCACACAGGATATTGTCTGAAAATCTTTTCTTGTTTCCTTTAATTTGCTGAGACTTTTCTTTTCTTTCTAAATCAGTAAAGTTTGCCAAGTTCTGAACACCCTCAATTCTACAGATACTGACATATGCAATATTAAAGAAGCTGGGTTGGTACGTATACAGAATTACATCCAACTTTAACTTTAATAGTGAACTTATTCTTTAAACTACGATTGTTCAGTGCTAAAGAACAGGAAGAAGACGAGAAGGACAAAGGGAAGGAGGAGATGGTGGAAGAAGGACTTATTCATTATGCTATTTTTTAAAATTTTTTACTAGGTCTGCTATAATTTGGATTGTATTTTATCATATTCACTGGTTGTTGCACTTATCAATCAATCAATCAATCTCTTGTTCAGTGCTACAGAAAAGAAGGAAGAGGAGGAGGAGGCAGTGGCAGTGAAGAAGGACTCGAGTTTTCATATTCGTGACTGAAACTGTGCACTTCTTCTGTATCCCCTCTGCCTACTGTGGTAGTAAAGTTGTTGCTATCACTATCCATTTCAGAAATCGAACTAGAGTATTTGATGTTATGAGATGCAGCATGTATGTTTCTTTGTTTCTAAATAAATAAATGTCTTTAAAACCTACCTTCTCAATCTTCCTATCTGGCATCCATTGGAAAGCCATTCATCACCATAATATTAACCCATTGTTCAACACTCACCACTCCCTGGCCGCATGCCATTTCCTTATATACTGTGCAGTAGCCGTGAATCTATTGAGTGACAAGCCGCACAGATGGTTGCTCTTTTGGTTAAAAATACACTGGTAAAGCATATGTTCCCGCACCTTTGAAACTTACCTTAGAGAAGCTGCAGAAGAGGCAAAGGCAAGGCTTCGCAGGAACTTAAATGTTCACAATTATACCAGCAATGCTCCTTTTGCTATCACAATTGGGACCAGAATTGCTATCAGGTGGGTATAAAGTGAGTCACTCCCAATTTTACAACTTTTTTGTGCCCCTTTTGTTAAGTGAATCATTGCAGTTGTTAAGCAGACCATGCTGTCATTAAGCAAATCCAGCTTCTCTCCTTGGCTCATTGACTGAGGAATTCTGGGATTGAAGTCCACATGTTTTAAAGCTCTCAAGGCTGAGAAACATTAAGACAGTCAGGCAGTTAGACAGACAGACAGACATTGTAGAACTAAATAGAAATCTGGGAGGCAGGAGTGGAGTGAGGCTTAATAATCATGTGGCTGGCAAACCAAAGTAGCTCCCTTTTGGCAAGCCAAAACGGGAAGAAAACCATAGCATTCTCTGTTCACAGATGACAATGGGGTAGCCTATCTGCACATGTTTAACATCCTCAGATAAACATCCTTCTTTGTTTTCTTTGATCTGAGCTATTCTGTAGGCAGTGGTGTATTGACCATTAACCATACTAAGCACATGCTTAGGGCACCAGGCCCAAAGGGGGCACCACATAGTTGAGAATATGGCTTCGTTTGTACAGTATGTACAAAGGAATGGGGCACCAAGATTTGTCAGTGCTTAGGGCAGCCTTAATCCGCCACTGTCTGTAGGTCAGGATTTAATCAACCTCCTATCAAATGACGGCGCTTCAGTCTCCCAGTCTTGGGCTTTTAATTCCAGCCATTTGGGTGTTGGTAAAAACCCAACAGGGAGAAACCATTTTCATTAGGCCATACACGAAAGTCATCTTATACTCTGGAGAAGCAGGCCTCTAAGACTTCCTACAGCTGCAGCTTGTTTTAATTTATAAGCAAGTCAAGGCTAAATTTATCATCAAGCAAGGATGACATTGCTAAGTAACCTTGGTGAGGAGCCTTAGTTGGCTCCTTCGCTTCAAGGGGAGCTGGGTTTTAAATGAATGCATTCTCCTTACAAAGACCTTGGGCTTTTTCAGCAGCAGCTGTTGAGTCTGGACCAAAGCCTATCAAAAACCTAGCAAATAGGGTCCATGGGGTTTTTTACCTATCTACTTCATCTTAGAGGAGAATATATCTCATCTCCTTGTATGATGCAGTTTGACTTGATACCGTTTCCAGTATCTCTTACAGTCTAAAGTAAATGTTCACAGCAAGGATAATTTAGAGGCAGCATCTCACATTATTGTATAAAAGCAAATGGACATGTTTTCAGCTCAGATCTTATAGGCACTTCTGAGAAAGAGCCGGAAAGAGGTTGCAGATTTCAGATACTCTTGTAGGTCGGTGTCTCTCAACCTTGGCAACCATAAGACTTGTGGACTTCAACTCCCAGAATTCCCCAGCCAGCTGCAAGGAAATTTGGGATCTCCTTGAGTCAAGTGCCTAAACTGTAGAATTTAGGTAACATGGAATGGGAAAGCCAGTGTGGGGTAGTGGTTAAGGCCCCGGGTTAGAATCTGGGAGGCCATCAGTTCTAGTCCCAATTTGGGCACAAGGTCAGCTGGATGATCCTGGACCAGCTCCTCTCTGTCAGTCCTAGGAAGAAAGCAGAGACAAAACCACTATGAAAATGTTGCCAATAGAATGGCATGGACTCATCCACACAGCCACCTGAGGTCAAAACTGACTCAAAGGCTTAAAGTATAAATATACTGATGACATTACCTGTAGCTAGGTAATAAAACATCTGCAAGAAAACAACCAATCTCAGGGAGCATCAAGGTCTCCACAGTTCAACTCTGAGCTACAAATATTCTCATCTATTTTTAAAATGTGGATTGGTACACTAATTAAAATGAGTGGGATAATGGATATTAGGCATGGCAAATATTATGAGAAGGTAGACTCAGAAGTCTAGATTGACATGCAGAATAGCACAAGGGGCTTAGACAGAACAACTGTACTATGATTTATCATAGCACCACAGTGGTTACAAACCTATTAAACATAAACACTGTAGTATAAGAAATAAAATTAACACTTGAAGAACATATAGCCATCCATTCTTGGAAACAGAAAATAGGGTGTCTTAAGGTGTCCACTTGCAATGGCACACAATAGCATTAATTGTGGGGATTAATATTCAGTGTCATTCGCATTGGCTGATAATAATTTGCCACAGGCAATAAGGATCCAAATGCAATAGAAGATGTGTTTTCTGCATTGCTGTGGTTCATAAAATCATAGAATCATAGGGCTGGAAAGGAACTTCATGGCTTTCTACCTCCTGTCCAAGATAGGAGTCCTTATACCAGGGGTCTTCAAACTTGACAGCTTTAAGACTTGTGGACTTCAACTCCCAGAATTCCTCCTCCAGTCATGTTAGCTGAGGAATTCTGGGAGTTGAAGTCCACAAGTCTTAAGCTTGCCCAGTTTGAGGGCCCTTGCCTTATACCACCCCAGTCAAATGGTTGTCCAATTTTTTTTCTTGAAAAACTCTAGGGATGGAGTACCCACAACTTCCAGAAGCAAGCTGTTCCACTGAATGATTGTTCTTGTTAGGAAATTTCTCCTGAGCTCTGGGTTGGATCTCTATTTATTTATTTGTTTGTTTGTTTATTTGTTTGTTTATTGTATATTGCTGCCTATTCGCCCATGGTGTCTCGAGGCGGCTTACAGAATGTAAAACCATATTTAAAATAAAAATGATCTTCCATGTGTTGGAGAATAGGTCAATCCCCTCTTTTGTATAACAGTCCCTCAAATATCATGTCATCCCTAGTCCTTCTCCTTGCCACACTAAACATACTCAGTTCCTGTAATTGTGCATTGTTTATTTTAGTCTCCGGTCCCCTAGTCATATTTGTTGCTCTTCTCTGCACTATTCCTTAGGGCATCAGCATCTTTTCTGTACTGTAGTTTTGTACCAAAACTGAACATAGTATTCCAAGTGTGGCCTCACCAGTGCAGTATATTCATCCACAGCTTTCCCACATACTGATCTTCTTCCAAGACAAACTGCATTTGTGAACTCTGATAGGAAGGAAAAACCAAAGGTAAAAGTACAGCTTTTTATTTTTATTATTTATTTATTTGTTTGTTTGTTTGTTTGTTTGTTTGTTTATTTAGTCAAGCATGCATTTGACAATATATATGAGCATAAACATGATTATTAATACAGAAAATAGATACAAATAAAAGGGAACATTAAGACAGGGATGGCAAAACCTGGCTCACAAACAGTAACTGTGAAAGGGACATTGGAGTCCTAATGGACAATCAGTTAAATATGAGCCCAAAAAAGCTTATATGATCACTAGTTGCATACACAGAACCATAGAATCAAAAACATGCGAAGTATTAGTACCACTTTACAAAGCTTTACTGGAATACTGCATCCGGTTTTGGTCACCACCAGTGGTGGTATTCAAAATTTTTTACTACCAGTTCTGTGGGTGTGGCTTGGTGGGCGTAGTGTGGCTTGGTGAGTGTGGTAGGGTGTGGCTTGGTGGGCGTGGTTTGGTGGGCATGGCAGGGGAAGGATATACTGCAAAATCTCCATTCCCTCCCCACCCCAATAACCTGCTTTCCAGCTCTGTTCTCCTTTGCAGGGCAACAAAATCAGCTGGGACTCGGGAGGCAGTGAATAGATGGGGGCGGGGCCAACCAGAGATGGTATTTATCATCAATTGATCCATCAATCAATCTCTGGAGGTTGAGAAGTCTCACAGTACCGCCAAGCTGTTCTCTGCATTGGACAATCCATCCGATGAGCATGTTGACTGTCAAAACTCTGGAAGTCCCATGGATAAAGAAATAATATTCCCAGTGGTTTTTCCATGGAGGGATTCTGGACCCTTCGCCCAAGGAAGCAGGCACAGCCTCTTAGATTTAGACTAATGCATTGACCTCTGTCATAGAGAGAAAGTAAGCAAGCAAGCACTGTTACGTTGTTGGTTTGAGCTCCGGGCTTGGCGATTTGGTTGCAATCCCCATTCAAGGAGACATCTTCAGTGCACTTTGGATTGTTCTTGTCTGGGGAGGCACTGGGCTTTAAACACCTTTCTGACTCCTAGTCTGATCACACGAAATCAGACCACATCACACGCAGCCAATCAAATCAACCCAAAACCAGACCACGATATTGTCAGAAGACATCCGAACAACAACACCAGCACTAATTTACACCACACAGACGGTACTTAAAACCAAGGACTACAACTTGGCAACTACAGCCAGCCAATCACAAAACCCGAAATCAGAGCAGGACTCAGAAAGGTATTTTAAAGCCCAGTGCTCCCCCAGACAAGCACAATCCAAAGCACACTGAAGATGTCTTCTCAAAGGGAGGGACGAAACACTTACAACCAAATCGCCAAGCTCGGAGTTCAAACCAACAACATAACTATCAACCCAAGCTACTGATATCCAAAGACATTTCAACGTACAAACATTGTGCTTTGCATCATTACCTTTTTCTTACACTAAAGCAGTGGTTGCCAACCAGTGGCCTGGGGACCACTGGTGGTCCACAAGAAAATTTTGGTGGTCTGCAGAGAAATGTCACCCTCCCCCCCCAAAGCACCTCCCAAAGCAATTAATCCAGGCTGCGCGGGAAAACAGAGCTGCGCCGCCCACATGGCCCGTGGGAACACAAGCCTTACATTGCTTGCATTGCGAAGTACACGAGATAGTGAGGGGAAGGGGGAAAGGGTGGAGGAGGAGAACTTGCCCCACTCGCCCCACGCACCTTGCCTGGCCACCGGGCTGCTTCTTTCCGCTTCTTTCTTCTTCTGCTTTTGGCTGCACGCAAGGAAAGCAGCAAAAGTCTTTCTTTCTCTCCCCCAAACTCCCACCAGAAATGAGTCTTTGGGACCCTGAAAGGCATCCTGCTCCAAGAGGCTGCACCGGCGCAACAAGTCTCACAAAGACTCATTTCTGACGGAGTTTGGGGGAGAGAAAGAAAGACTTCTGCTGCTTTCCTTGCATGAAGCCAAAAGTCTCTCTCTCTCTCTCTCTCTCTCTCTCTCTCCCCCTGAGAACGGAGCTGGAGACAGTATCCTGTGATCCCAAATAAAGAATGATTGATCGGTAGGAAAACGGGGTGGGGAATTTTCCTGCAGACTTTTTGGGGGATTTTCCCAAGGTCTCTGGTCTTCAGGATTTAAAACTATGAGTTTGGTGGTCCCTGAGCTCCAAAAGGT